TAGAGTGTTATCTAGAAAGAAATGGGCTTTCTGCATTTGGTGATGCCTGCCTTTTTGCTAAAGGACCTTGGTACATCACACCTGGAGTCAGATTCTGGCTTGGCCACTTGCCAGCTGTGACACTGTGAAAGTTATATAGCATCTGAGCCTCTTCTCTTACCTGTAATATCATGACTTTTCATCTGCTTTAAAAAACACACACACACCTTAAATGCTCTTAAGTTCTTCAGGGTGAGCTGAAAAGAAATTGTTAAAGTTTAAGAGGTATAACAAGCCCATCATTGCCAGCAGTCTTAAAAGTTTGCTGTGAATTACTGCATGTCATTCGTAGCCATTTCTGACATTACAAAGATGAGCAGCCCGTGTCTCTTGAGCTATGTAAGGACTTGCTCAGTTTCTCTGTGTGGCCCATAGAGGATGAAAGGTTAGCAAGTTGCCCCTCTGTTACTGCTCAGATGGTCAGGTAGTGATTTATTTATTTTTATTATTATTATTTTTTTAATCCTCACTCAACACTTTTGCATTCATCTTCAGATAGAGCGAGAGGGAGAGAGGGAGAGAGAGAAACATCGAAGTGAGAGAGACACATTGACAGGTCGCCACCCACACAACCCCAACTGGGGCCGGGGACAAACTGCAACTGAGGTACGTGTCCTTAGCGAGAACCAAACCCAGGTCTCTGGATCGAGGGCCAACGCTCTAACTGCTGAGCCAAACTGGCCAGGGCAGGTAGTGATTCATTAATGACTGGAAAGCACCGTCGGTTTTTTCATTGGTCATGTACTTTGTTGTATAAAGAATAGCAGAATACTATCTGTCCTCACTATTTGCAGGTTCTGTTTTTACAAACTTACCTACTCACTAAAATGTATTTGTAACCTCAAAATCAGTACTCTGGATGCTTTCCTGGCCATTGACAGACATACACAGAGTTGCCCATCTGAGATCAAACAAGGCAACTCTACCTTCATTTTGGTTCTCCTGCTGTTTAAAAAAAAAAAGTGTCCTTTCTGTGTTTCCACATTTTGTGCTGGCCTTTTTGTTGGTTATTTCACTTTTTAAAATGGTCCCCAAGTATAGGACTAAAGGGTTGTCTAGTGTTCCTAAGCACAAGAAGGCCATGATGTGCCTGATGGGAAAAATACATGTGTTAGTTAAGCTTCATCCAGGCATGAGTTACAGTACTTGATTGAGTTCAGTGTTCATGAATCAACAACATACACCCAGAAAAAGGAAGACGAAATAACCAATTTGTACATGAGGCTGCTCCATCAAATACTAAAGTAACATCTGTAACGTGTGATGATAGAACTGGAAAAGTGGCTGGATTTATGAGACGATGACTGATTTATTAAAAAGTGTAGTAGATAACATTTTTGTGAGGCTGAAAGCCAAAGCAATTTAGTCATATTACTGGGGGGATCAGGAAACTGTTAAATCCTTCTCAGCTAGTGTTTTAGTATAAGGAAATACTGTATATAATTATTTGTAAGACATAAGATATCTTTATACAGAAACACACATAAAACAAGGTTATATATTGATTAGTGGGTGAAAATGTGACAAGAGGCTCCCCAAGAATCTAACCCTTTATTTCCGCTAGGAGCAGTGGTTCAGTATTAACTAATTCAGGATTCACAGCTACTTCAGAAAGCATAGCTATGATGAATAACAGGAATCAATACATTTTCCATGGAGCTCAAAGTTGTTTTCATTTTGACTGAAGGAAAAATATATGACACACATTTCCTCCCTGAGTGGACTCTTGTAAAAGCCCTAACATCTGCCTAAAATCAAACATTCCCGCTGCTGTTATCCCAGACAAGTGCCACAGAATTTCTCTCGCCTTAGGACTTCTGGGTGTGTTTGGGGGTCGGGTGGAGTACTGTCCCTATAAAATACAAGTCTTCAGTAGTATTTGACCAGACAGAATGAAATATTTTCCTCACTTGGTGGGATTTAATGCAGTAGAATTCTAAATGGCATTTTCCTGTTCCTTTGCATTCTGTAGAGAAGTGATGATGATGACAGAAGCAGTGACAGGAAACATGGGGCTCTTGAGGAGCAAATAGAAAGACTGCAGGAAAAAGTGGAATCTGCTCAGAGTGAACAAAAGAACCTCTTCCTTGTCATATTTCAGGTATCTTGGCTTGGGGCATTGATATGTTAAAAATAATAATAATACATTTCTTTAGTATGTATTTAGAGAGAGAGGAAGGGAGAGAGAAAAACATTGATCGGCTGCCTCCTGCACACCCCTCACTGGGGATTGAGCCCAAAACCCAGGCATGTGCCCTGACCGGGAATCAAACCAGGACCTCTCAGTCCATGGGGTGACACTCAATCCACTGAGCCACACCGGCTGGGCCTACATTTTTTAGTTTTAAAAAATGTTCATTTTAGTTATAAAAGTAATATGTGCACGCTTATAAAAGCTAAAAAGACAAAAATTTACAAAGGAAATAAAAGCTGAGTACTTGGAGGTAGCCATGTATACCTCCAGTTCTATTGTTCACTCAGCATTCTTGCATGAGCATGTCTCCGTGCTTTGAAAAACGAGTGTTAAATACCCCTTATTTAATTCCCAATTGTTGATCATTTAGATGACTTTCCTTCCTGATGAACATTTTTGTGCATAGATTCCTCTTTACATTTCTGATTATGTCCTAGCTAAGTAATCTAGACATTAAAGGTCTTCACGTGTTGCCAAAGAGGATGTACTAACTTTATCATATCACTGGTGTACCTTTCTTGACAGTATTTATCGAATTATCAAAGTTATATACCATAAAGACAGAGTGGAACAAACAACACCTTTGAGTCTCTTAGTCTAAAGTGTGATTGTTTCTGAAGAATTCTCTAACACTTCTTTATCTGTGTACCCCCTTTCCAGCGCTTTATCATGATCCTGACTGAGCACTTAGTACAATGTGAGACGGATGGAACTAGCATATTAACACCGTGGTATAAGAACTGTATAGAGAGGCTCCAGCAGATCTTCTTACAGGTCCGTGGGAAACTTTGATTAAATAATAAACATCACTAGTCTCGGCCACAGATACTCCATTTCTAATTTTTTTTAATTGATTTTTTGATTGATTTTAGAGGAAGGGAGAGAGAGAAATGGAAATATCGATGAGAGAGAACATCAGTTGGCCACCTCGTGCATGCCCCCCACTGGGGATTTGGCCCACAACCCGGGCATGTATCCTGACCAGGAATCGAACTGGCGACCTCTTGGTGCATGGGTCAACGCTTAACCATTGAGCCACACTGGCCGGGTCAGATACTCCATTTTTTAAAAAATCATCGAGTTTGTCAGAAGGTTATGTAATCCCTGTAAGCCCTTTAGTTCATGTCCGTTTGTTTCTACTGTTGCTAATCAGAATATTTAGGCTTAAATTGGTTCTGTATCACTGAGGCTCCGGATTGCCATTCTCTTTGCTAGAAAGCCTAGCTACAATACAAAGTGCAGAGAACACTAATTACATTAACAACGGTCCTTAAAATCTAATGTTCAAATGAAAAATAGTGCCATAGAAGCAAGGTTCCATTATGGATTGATAGGACAGTGGAACTAATTCTTTGTATTTTCAGAAACTAACAGCCCAAATCCTCGTTTATTCCAGAAGTTACTAAATTAGAAGTCATAAAAGGAAAAAAAGTTCTTTACGCCTCCAAATAGAAATTCTCTCTAGATTTAGTCATTGCCGATTAAAACAACCCGTAGTCCTTTAGGGATCTCTGAGTATATTCAAGTTATATGGGTGCACATAGATTATTTCATTTTGACACTTTTTTTCCATGTAAGCACAACAAGTCAGATTTCTAGTAGGACAGATGAGCTATTTGCAAAAGAAAAAAAAATGAGGTTTGGGTTTTTTATTTTGTGGAATGCTTAATAGCTCACTAATTCTCTATTAATGTTTTTCTTTTGCAATTTGCAGAGAGATTATTTTAATGCTGTAACCCAGAAAAAGGATTCCAAAATACTTAACATTTCAGGACCAGGGTTTTAACAGTAGCAATTGTGTTATTCCTATTTGTAACATATACCACCTTCCACTTTTAAAAAATCTTCCTATGTCCAGTCCCTGTCTGGGCTAATTTTTGAGTCATACTTGTGTTGTCTTCATTAGTGATAGAGAGAGCCAGCTTAACCTAGTCTGTAATAATAGTGCTGTGGTAGCAGCAGGCACTATCTTGAAGCATGAGTGTATTTACATAGAAGCTGGTCAGGACTGGGTGTTTGTTTTTTTAAGTTATTTAACATCCTTTTTTTTTCTTCATTTCCTTCATGTTAGAGCTTTTTCAGGGGCCTGTTACTCCCATCAGCATAACCACCTTTTTCCCCTACACCCCCTTCCCACCATTTCACAATGTGGGTGGGCTGCTGAAGGGACTGCTCTTTTTCTTGATTTAAACACTCCCTTTTCTGTCCACAGCATCACCAAATAATCCAGCAGTACATGGTGACCCTGGAGAACCTGCTCTTCACTGCTGAATTAGACCCGCACATCCTGGCTGTGTTCCAGCAGTTCTGTGCCCTGCAGGCCTAAGGGTCATTTTTCCCCTCATGTCAACATTTTTTTAAAAATCTATTTGTCTTATTTTTGGTGGTTTGAATGCTTGCTTTCAAATGCTTGTTTTCTTATAGCATCCTTTCACTTTCTAAGGGAAACAGGAGGAAGACAGTCAAGAATATGGCATGGGTTACCTGAGATTGCCCCTAGAAAGCAAATATTCCCTAATGACAATGTGACAATGACCTGACCATAGGATGTATTATTATATATGTGACAGATACAACTTTTCTGATTGACAGTTCTCCTCAAGGCACAAAAAATAACTGATTGGAGGTATGTGAACACTAGAGGTCAAGCTTACAAAGTAGTATATAGAACCAGTGGGTTTATTACCAAGTAGCATATAGCTTTTCACAGCTCATGGATAACTTAACATGGCTAAAATAAAACTGTTTTTTAAACTTTGGTATTTCATGATTTATCATCTCAGTCTACTTTAAAACTAATGATTTCTTACTGAAGGTATATTTTAACTCCATTTGAAATTTTCCCTTTAAAACATTTTTCTTAAGTGGTTATTACAAGAAAGGGTAGCAGTTCTCAAATTTGTGACCATAAATCACCTGGAAATGTTTCAAGTTATATTTTAAAGTAAACTACAATCTCTGGGGGTGGAACACGCCCCATCCGTAGTTTCCCAGGTGATTCCAATATGCACACAACTTTGGGAACCACTTAGAGACCCTGGTCATTTCCTCTAGAAGTAGCTAAATTGGCTAAAAATACACTTGGAATTAGATTTAAGTTTGGATTTCTACGGAACTGGTCCAAGTAGTAATCATTCCTGAGCCTGTTTCCTAGATGTTTTTCATTAAACCTTGGAAAAAATTCCCCAATAAAAACCCTAACCCCACAGCTGGTATTACCTTTGAGCATTTGCACAACATAGGTTATGATGCATTAGCATTTTCCGTATTAACATATGGTATCTTTGGTTTACCACACACTGAGTGGCTACAGAATATAGTCTGCTCAACAGGTGGGACTTCCTAGGGTTTGTAAAAACCACACCATTTAAGACAAAAAATTACTATTCACAAAATTGAAGTTGAAGGCAAGTCACTAGCAAAGTTTGGCTAATTGTACTTGATCCAAATCTAGAGGAATTGCTAGGTTTTCACATCCTTTCTCTTGAATCCTCTCTTCATGTGTAATGGTTACTTTTAACAACTGTTCACTGATATGACTGCTCTGTCCCAGTCTGGCAGCTAAATATATGGAAAAAAAAATAACTGAAACTAGAGGTTGAATTTTAAAGAAATAAAAGTGCAAGAGCAACTGACTTGTTTTGACTTTGCCTTTCTTTAAGCATAATCTCCAAGAGCTGCTCTAGAAAGAAAAACTGAAAATGTATAAACTTCCTATTTCTTCTATTTGTAGCAGTAGGATAAAAAGTTATATCAAAGAATAACCAGATATTTTCATCTTGAATTTGTTTTTGTCAAAAAAAAAAAAAAAAGACAGCATAAGCTGTGTAGTCAAGCACATGGGATCAAATCCTCTTAACTATAACTACCTTGTAATCCTTTTGAGATGATAGGGGAAATTTTGACTACCTAAACTTGATCTAGATGTCTGGGGTGATGTCAGGTTGTAGGGTTATTTCCTTTCCGAGTGCTCAGTCAGTACAGAAGCAAGCTGTCTTCCCTCCCACGATTAAATTAGAATACCTGTAAGGCACTTAGCTTCGTGCTTTCCTGGTACATGGTAAGGGCTTAGCAAATGGTAGCAAGTTATGATAAACTTATAATTGCCTTCTTTGCTGTCTATCTAGTGACTAATATTAGGGCCTGTAGTTAACCCTAAGATACAGAAAACATGATCAGACTCCCACAACTCATTCATTATTCCTGTTGTTAGTCAGGACTTGTCCCAGCAGTAGCTTCCTGCTCCCTGACTTAGGGCTTCTAGATTATTTCTGTCTCCAACCAGCCTCTGGGGTGCAGGGTCTAACACCATCTCTGCTATTTCTTGGGATAAGAATCCAGTTGAGCCTGCTTTAGCCTTTACCAAAAACAGTTCATCGTCCTACCCCAACTTAAGGTTTGCCTTGGTTTCTTTCCAATGTTAGCTCTCACCTAACACTTGAGCCTACGGTACTGAGCTCCCATGCCTATTCCAGAGCAAATGATCACAGACCTGCTGAACCTCGGCTCAAACTTACTCTTGAGCCATAACATATACATTCATTTCTGAAGCACTACATATAAAACGGTTTCACTCATCTATAAAGACTTTTTTCCTTGGTGAATTTTGAACAAGACCAATCTACATTTCCTTGTTCTAAACCTAAAACGCTATAAAATAGATCATTTAACTAAAAATCACATTTTCTCATATGTCAGTTCATGGCCACACACAGTACAGATCTTCCGGTACATGTCATCTTCTAAGTTTTCTTCTGGTCCATACTCATGTTGGTGAGCCACCGTGTCCCTTTTCCATACACTGCTTCTTACTGCTCGCCGTAATTCTAAGAAAGAAAGAGGCCAGTTTTTCAGTAGTGCTCTTCATGTGTGTGTTATACCTAATATGGTTTACCTGAACTTTAACACATCAAAATTGATTATATAAACTTACCCGGTTAGCCTGTCAAATCATCCACACCATTGTTGGAGTAGTATGAAATGGCAGGCTCAGAAATGGAGAGTGTGGGTTAGAGAGATGGCAAAAGAAGAAGAATGGAAGAAACAGGATTTGTTCAAGCAACTGACTGGAAGACAGGATGCCACAGCAGGAAAGGGGATGACTGAGGACAGATGCATTTTTTTTAAATCCTCTCCCGAGGGTATTTTTCCATTTATCTTCAGATAGAGTGGGAGTGAGAGAGAGACAATGATGTGAGAGAGACACATCAACTGTCTGCCTCCCACATGACCCTGACTAGGCCAGGGATTGAACTGAAACCAAGGTATGTGCCCTTGACTGGAATCGAACCTGTTAACTCTTTGGTCCACAGGTCGACTTTCCAACTGCTGAGCCAAACCAGCCAGGGCAGGACAAGGAGCGTTTTTAAGTTCCTTATCAGTCATGAACCACTGCTACAAGAGGCAAGTCGACCTTTGCTTACAAGAAAATGAGAAAGCCAAGAACCGTGTCACTAGGCTGAGGTATCATAGAAAAATTGCTTGTGCAACTAGTCTATTAAATTCTTTAACCTAAAAAAAACAGCTTTTTAAAGGAAAATATCATTCAAAACAATTCTTTATCCTATAAAATAAGCAATATTTTAGAGAGGCTGCTAATAATTATTGGAAAGTATGATCGAAATAGAATCATAGACTATTAAAAGCTACAAAGAACCAGAGTTTTTATTTTATTTCATTTTTTTACAGGTAGGGGAAACAGCATGTATACCCAGGTCAATGTTCAGAACTCTTTCCACTTGGAAATTTAGAAGCTAGTAACTTCTCAGTTTCTAATTTAATGAACAAAAAGCAACAGTGATTGTTTATAATTTTTCTGTTCTGACCAGTGATCCATCCCAGCACTGTCTCAGAGCAGCACAGCCCAAGGGAGAGTATGATAGCTGTATTTTATGTCTACCACAAAAACCAACATACACCAAGTAATCACACACATGTTCTTTACTCCATTTTAAATATTTTGTAAGTAATATAAAAATAACACCCGCATCTTTGCATCGTGAGGATAAGCAAACAAACAGGGTCATGTATCAGGCACTGCTCTGAGCACATTAGAAAAACATTTAATCCTCACAATCCTTTGAAATAAGTACAACTATCATCCCAATTTTACAGATGAGAAAATTAAGACACAGAGAAGTCACATAACTTGGGCCATAGGTCAAACAGTTGATGACAGAGGCACAGTCTAGCTCAGGTCCATGTTCTTAACCACTAAGCTGTGCTGCCTTCTCATACCTCCAGTATGAAAAGCACTTTATCTGAGACGATTCAAATTTCAACATGCACACCTCGAGATAATTTATAGACTACGGGAAACCATGTTCACCCAAACTCTAATCTTTATTCCTGTATCATCTCATAGTCTGAAGAACCCTAATTTTTCTAGATACCCAAAATGCCCTCTATCCTTTTTATCACTTTATTTTACCTTAGGACAGTTTATAAATAAATAAATGAAATGATACACTACCCAGAACTGCACAGGTACCTCATGGTTTCAGATGACAGGAAGATGTCATGTCGCCAGTTTGAGGTCCAGTACCCACTTTTCAACTTTGTTCTGATGTAAGGTATCCGAGCCACTTTTCCTTTACTCTGCCCCACTGAGGAAATCTCTCAAAATATGACTGCACCCCAATCACTGCTAAGCTAACCTCTGCCTAATCGGAGCATTCTGTGAATTTAGAGAGAAGAAAACTTATTAACACTAAAAGAATACTTAACAAAAATCTAGCTTTCTGGGAAAATGTGCTAGAAAATAAAGTACTAAAAAACTGATGTCTGTCATTTTCTTGCCCTCCTTTTCCTTCCCGAACAATCCAGTCCTAAAACCGTTACTAAGTGGAGCAAGTGAAGCATCTGTGGTCAGGTGGGGGAGCCCAGAAACATAAGGAAGGTCTTGGCAGCAGTGGTGGGAGACTAGTTACACACAGGGCATTCGTCAATTAGCCACATTAAGGATCATGGGAATCAGGTTTCTCACTGTCAGAGAAAAATAGAACGAAGCCTAAATTTTTGGACTGAATGGGGTTTATCAGTATGAATTAAAGATTTTAATTTGTATACACGTGTATATATGAGCAAACATAAAAATGTAATAAATAGACACGTGTTTTATGTAGAAAGCAGAAAGGAGCGCCCCAATGATGACGACACATGGAAAGGACACAGGAGCTGGCTGAGCCGGGTGGCCAGCAGGAAGGAGCGCTGCCCACACATCAAAAGGTTGCCAGTTTTTTCCCGGTCAGGGCACATACCTAGGTTGTGACTTCAATCCCCCACCCCTGGCTTCCTCTCTCTCTAAAAATTAATAAAGAAAAAAAGATAAAGGCTGTGGAAATAGTCTAGAATAAAGAAATTTAGAAAGACACAGTACCTAAAGCCAATACCTGATCCTAGACTGGATCCTGTACTCGAATGAAAATTCATACAGGACGTTCCTGGGTTAGCGAACACTAGACTATGGATGACAGACTAGATAACAATATCAACATTATACTTTGATTTGTAAGAGAACATTCCAATTCTTAGGAAGTCTGTAGTAGTTAGGGGTAAAGGGGGATGATGTATACAATCTACTCTTAAAGCAGAAAAAACTGTGTACATAGAGAATGCAAATGATGAAGCAAATGGAATTAAGTGTTAACAATAGGGAAATCTGGATAAAGGATATATGAAAGTCCTTTGTACTATTCTTGCAATTTTATGCAAGTTTGAAATTATTTACAAATAAAAACAAAAAGACAGGAGCTAGCTTGAAGGGGCTTCCACTGACCAAATTTGGGACAATAAGCACCAAAATAAAGAATAGGAATGGACTATAACACTGATTTGAGAATAACAGTCTATGAATCCAAAATGTTCTTCTTTCCAAATGAAGCCAAATAATAATTATAGAATGAACAACAAACAGAAAATCACCATTTACATCACCCTAATAACTGACTCGGTACTAAAACCACTAAGCGAAACTTAAGGAATAAGAAGTTCACACAGCGTCAGAGTCGCCCCCAGCGAGAAGAGTGGAGAAATCTGGCAGACGCTTCCTCAACCACGCAATCAAACCGAGCATCACCCTCCTAGAGGGGAACGGTGTGTGTGTCCTGGTGTGACGCACTCGACGTCGTCTCACCTAGGAAGCTTTCCTACCAAAACTGTTCAACCCAAATCTACTTATAAGAAATAAGCTGTGAATAAACCCCAATGGAGGGGGCATTGCACCAAACAGGTGGCCCGGACTCAAGAGAGGGAGCCTCTATCAATTTATATCACTTGTGCTTCACCAGATGTGATCGGGTTTTCTAATAGCATGACAGGAAGACTCCTATCAACAGTTTTGGAAAGAAGTAGTGGGACCAAAAAAAGCAGTTTTCATTTGTATTGTGAAATGTAAAAATAAAATGGTCAACTCTTAGTTTAAAAAATGTCGATACCATGAAAAATAAAAAGGCTGAGGAACTAAGACTACAGATATGCATCATCCTTGAATGGCCCCTGGATCCAACAACTAAAAAGGCAGTAAAGACATTGGAACAGCCCTGGCCGATTTTGCTCAGTGGTCAGAGCATCGGCCTGTAGTCCAGAGAGACCCGGGTTCGGTTCCTGCTAAGGGCATGTGTCACGGTTGCAGTTTGTCCCCGGTCCTGGTTGGGTTGTGTGGGTGGCAGCCACTCGATGTGTCCCTTTCACATTGATGTTTCTTTCTCTCTTCCTCTCTCTCCCGTACGCTGTCTGAACAAAAAATGGAAAAATGTCCTTGGGTGAGGATTTAAAAAAAAAAAAGACATTGGAACAACTGGGGGAATAGATATGTAACTAGATAATAACATTACATGAATGTTAAATTTATTGGGTGTGATCATCGTTTTTAGTTATGCAGAAGAATGTTATTGTTTTTTTGGAGATAACACAGTGACTACTTAATAAGAATCATTGTCTACAAGTAACTTTTTTTTTAATCCTCACTGGAGGATCTTTTTCCATATCTTCAGATATAGTGAGGGGGGAGAGAGAGAGAGAAAGACATCAATGTGAGAGATACACACTGATTGGTTGCTTCCCTTACGACCCCGCCCAGAGCTGGGGACCAACCCGCAACCAACGTATGTGCCCTTGACTGGAAAAGAACCTGAGACTCTTAGGTCTGCGGGCCCAAAGCTCTACCGCTGAGCCAAACCGGCCAAGCTACAAGTAACTCTTAAATAGTTCAGCAAAATATATGTTTATGCATGAAGGAGAGAAAAAAAACACACATGGCAAACAACATCTGGTGAATAAAAATTTGCTTAAAAGACTAATACATTTTTCACATTACTTCATTTAAGTAACTTAAAACTTTGGAAAGTAGAGATCAACCACCTACTGCTGAGGAGAAGTGGCAGGCAGAACGGTCAGAGACTTTGGGGAGGGGAGGAAGAGGTGACAGGCCTTGGGCGCTGAGGGGACCGTGGAGAGGGAGAGGAGGGGACAGGCCTAGCGCACTGAAAGCCTAAGAGAAGCTGAGAGCGAGTGGTTCCCCTCCTCCACGCGTGTCCCCTCCTCCGAGCCACGGGCTTAGGATCCCACAGCTCAGACTGTGCACGGCCCCCAGGGAAATGGAGTGAGACGGTCGGTCTCACTACTGGTATCTTCAGGAACTGCTTAAACTTTTTACCGAAAGAAGTTTTCCCCTAAATCCTTGTTTCAACGAAAAATTTATTTTCTACCACTCTAAAACTTGCATTTTACTTGGCTTATTATCTTAATTTTGCAAAAGAGGCAGCCTGTATTCAAAGAATTCGAATGCTGCTTATGAGGTGAACTAAAGAGAACCAGCTGAGGGAGACCAGATGCTTTTTTTTTTTTTTTAAATCCTCACCTGAGGATATTTTTCTTTTTTTTTTTTCAGACAGAGTAGGAGGAAGAGATAGAGAGAGAAAGACCAATGTGAAAGAGACACATTGACTGGCTGCCTTCTGCACAACCCCGACCAGGGCCAGGGACCCAACCCCAACCGAGGCATGTGCCCTTGACCTAGAATTGAACCTGTGACTCTGTGGTCTGCAGACCGACGCCAAACCAGCCAGGGTACCAGATGGCTTTAAATACTTGACGGGAAGGCAGAAAGTTTTGATACAGGGCGTCCCTTGTTAATAGAGAAAAAAAATCACCAGAAAATGAAGAGACAACATAGCCAGCTTTGATCTGGTTTCATCCTCCATACACTGAAGGAGTAACGGACCTTTCCCGAGAGAAGTCCAGGAAAATGTCCGCAAACTGAGAAGGGGCCCTCAAATGGAATTTTCTTATCTACCGCTTTCCGGGCTGGGGGAGTAAATAGAGACAGTAAAATTTAATTTTCTTTTGTTAGTTTTTTAGAAGGCTAACCTCTACCAGTACTAAATAAGAGAAAGATGCACATAACCTTAAAGAAAAGCCTTCTCTCTGCCTTGCTGCGGAAAGGAGGCAGGCAAACCCACCACGTTCTATGTGCGCACTGCTGGAAGCTCTGTCCAACATCAAGGTCAACACACACTGCCTTCCCTGAAATTCACCTAGATGGATCTGAGAGCTAGAACAATTTGAATTTGCTCACAAAATTCTCTCATCTTTTACCTGATATTTACATATACATTATACTATTTATACTTTTAATTTTCTTCTGTAGTAAGATCAATGATTTCTCAAACTGCTAAAGTAAATCATATTCTGAAAGCAGGTAAATGTAATCTCTTACCTTTCCATAAAGAAGTAAACTTTGTGTCAGCTTCTTTGTGGGTCAGAATCAGAAGACCAAGAGGGAACCAGATTCCAATTTCTTGTCAACTAAAAAATGTTTAACCTTGCTTCTAGTCCTCTCTGTTCTGAGCCTTCTGAGCAAACTGCACAGCACGCCCCTTGTTTCTAATCTCTACAGTGCCTGTTCCACTCGCAGCCTTCTGTGGCCTAGTCAGGGAAGCAGGCACATATCCACCAACTTCTAAAGCGAGTCAACAAGAAGCCATAATTAAAGAAGGTACTGTATTGACCTCTGCACATCAAACACCAGAAGACAATGGAGTCATGTTTATACAACAGAGAGAACCTATGTTTCCATATGCAAAAGAAACAGAACATTCTTAGATTTTCAGGGACTTGGAAAATACACTACTCATGTAACCACTTAAAAAACTGTCCTCACAAGACATGCTTCAACCAAACAAAAAAGGAACTGAATGAAAGAAACCAGCCTTGAGAGATCTAAGAAACAATTCAGGACAGATTCAAACTCTTTAAGAATGAGGAAAATTCACAGTAATATATCTGGTCATTAATGGCAATTTAATATAGTGAATTTATATATTTTTTTAAAAACTATGAAAATTGTATAAATCTTAAATGTTCTATTCATACTAATATTTAAATTATATTACCTTTTTATAGAAAAAGCATAATGAAATGAAATAGATGCCATAATCTTTTACTGTTAGTCAAATTATAAAAATTTAGTCAACTTTAGATGACATCTACAGAAATAGTGTCTAAGAAAAACATTTTAAAAATATTTTGCCTCTTGCCCTGGCCGGTTTGGCTCAGCAGTTGGAGTGTCGGCTCGCAGTCTGGAGAGACCCGGGTTCGATTCCCTCTAAGGGCACATACCTCAGTTGCAGTTTGTCCCCGGCCCTGGTTGGTTGTGTGGGTGGCAATCACTAGATGTGTCTCTCTCACATCAATGTTTCTCTCTCTCTCCCTCCCCCTCTCCCTCTCGCTCTATGAATGCAAAAAGTGTCCTCGGGTAAGGATTAAAATAAATAAATAAATATTCTGCTACTTTGCAGGTACAAATTTCTAATTCCTTTAACTGTATATTACTGTCAGCACTAAAATACCATCAGGAAAGGGATTTAAGAGACAGCAGAGAGGAGAGAATTGAGGTGATTCAGGTAGCAGGTTAACAAAAACCCTCAACAAATATGTAATTAGTTTATAAATATGCCCTCCTCTTTCACATCCCTTAAAACATCTTATTTGTTAGTTTATCCTTTAAGGCTCTCCTTGATTTTAGAAGAGAGAAAGGGCTAGAGTAGAACACTGAAAAGATCAAAGAAGTCCTTCCAAATCTGCTCAATCAGTCCTTGCAGGCATTTTGAAGACTGTGGCAGAGCAGGGGCTAATCTGGAGAAGACTCTTCAGTGAAATGCTCTTGGCTATCGTTTGCTACGGGAAACCTCTCTACAAAGCCATAAACATATGCTTACTTTACCTCTGATTCTGTAATTGATACTTTAAAGTAACTATAATCTACATAAAAATGTATATAAGGATGTTCTTAATGGGGTTGTCCTAATAAACTTCATAAATGCCAACAATGCTTCCGTTTTTATAAAAAATATTTTTAAGGTGTCTATGCATTGAAATGAACTGGAAAAACAGACATGGAAATGTTACTAATGATTGCCTCAGAGTAGCAGAGTCCTGGGATAGTTCTCTGTAGTTTTGTAACTTTCCTGCACTGAAATAAATTACTCCTATAATAACAATGGAGGAAATCCTCTCACAATTCGAAGACACAAGGCAGCTTACATTTAATCATTTTTTTTATGTTTTGTTTTTAAGACATCTGAGGTATCTTCAGTCACCCTCCAAAACCTATTCTAAATTCTAAAAACATAAACAAATGTATTATAGCTAAGAGACTCCCTTTAAACGGACCACTTTAGTGTATGTATAACCCTGCATACACACATGCTACCTATATGCACTTCACCACACTGGGACTCTACAAATACTGTATGAAGAACATTTACACATCCCTGCTTTTAGGAATTATGTAATATAGCAAAAAGTGCTCCTTGTACTCTTGTAGCACCCTGTGCTCACCACTGTCACAGTACTTATCACACTCATCATGACTTCTCGTCTGACAAACTGACTCCAGCATTTATACCAGCACAGTGCCTGAGCACAGATGACACACTAATTATTGGATGCACTGAGTGAGGGAGACTTAGCACATACTGTATACATGGATGGATGCATGAACAAATACATAGATGGACAACAGAATGGATAGCCATATGAACAGACACATGTATGGACAGAAAAATGAACGTACCAATGCAGACTTTTAGTCATGAAGCCTGGTTCCAGTCCCAACACTAATAATTATGTGACAGGTCACTCTACCTAAGTTTTTTATTCATATATAAAATGAAAGTGATTAGACCAGCTGATATTAGAAGGTTCCTTCTAGCTGCTAAATTAGATGATAAGATGTAGCCATGATTTTTTTCATTTTCAGCAATTAGAGAGGCTTGCTGGTGAATATCTTTGCTTTTTATAACCCTATCAGTCATATTTAAGATTGAACTGATGCCAAATCTTTTACCAGGGATACATCCCTGATTTTATATAAAAACATGATTCACATTAAGGTGAGGGTTTACAAGCTTTTTAGAATTGCAGTGCTGTGAGGTTTGAACTCAGAGCCTCAAACACCAACCCCCCAAGGGCAAACTTTGAATCTTTTTCTTCAATGTATATATGACAAAATATATTCCAATCTACTGGTGACACTACATCTTTTAAACAGGAAGAATTTAGCTAATTAAAGGCTTTTTGCAAAGCAGTTAAATATAGTCCTTTGTGCTATAAATGTAGCCACCTACCTTTTACTTTTTTATCAAACTTCTTCTGTTTCATTTGTTCTCGGTTTTTCTGTCGAACTTCCTTCTCTTCTTCTAATGCTTCCTGACTACCCCAAACTTCAAGAGCCCTCTTCACAATCTATAACACAGAATCCATATCTAAATTAGTTTTGATTCGGAGTTGTAAATTATAAATTTATAATTATAAATCCACAGGCACCAAAGAATGATCTGACTCAAGTGCAATTTTATAAAAACTTATTTGAAATTTAAAAGTTTAAATATTGATAAGAAACTCTATTAATACCTCTGTCTAAAACGATGAGACCCTCAGTGAATGTACAATGACCTAGATTATAAACAGAAAAGTTGTTCTCTGACTGTAATTATCTCTCTGACTCACTCAGCTTTTTCACTTGAATCAAAATTAAGTACATGTAAGTCAGTAGGTCTGAAGAGTTTTGGCAAGCTCACCCCCCAAAATCTACTTATCAGTTAGTCACATCAGATCTAAGTATGAGGGAATCTCTAAAAACCTCCCACCTCACTGCTATTCTTCTTCTCTTGAACCAATAATATTTTCCATCTACTTGACTAACTTCTGATCTTCAGAAGATGCATTTTAAAAAAACTTTGGTAGCTGAATGACCTAAAAGTCTTTTTTTTTTTGTTTTTTTTTGTTTTTCATCCTCACCTGAGGACATTTTTCCATTTTTTGTACAGATAGAGTGGGAGGGAGAGAGAGGAAGAGAGAGAGAGAGAGAGAGAGAAACATCGACGTGAAAGGGACACATCGAGTGGCTGCCACCCGCACGACCAACCAGGGCCGGGGACAAACTGCAACCAAGGTACGTGCCCTTAGCGGGAACCAAACCCGGGTCTCTCCGGACCGCAGGCCGACGCTCTAACCGCTGAGCCAAACCGGCCAGGGCGACCTAAAAGTCTTTATTCTAGTTTTAAAACTTTAGATTACATTGTACAAAGAGTAAAGATATGTATTTATATTTAAGAGAATAATATACACACTAAGAATTATGCTCAGGATATCTCTCACAATATGTGAAGGGAACCAAAATATCAATCAATGTAGCCAAACTCAAGTTTCTTCTTAACATAATAAAGTGATATACTCTTATTTCAAAAATTCCAAACTATCACATTTCCTACAATTTAACCCTCTAAAAATGCTGCATCACCAAGGTGCTTAACAAGACTTGAACAATTCCGAGTCCAAAGTGGCTCAGAAGACGGACGTGCAATGTGAAGTAGTTTAGGAATACCTTACTAAAGCTGCTGTACTCGCACTTTCCTTTTCATGTACACACAGCATGATCTATAGCAGAAAGTACAACAAGTGTAAAGGCACTATTTCAGTAAGTATAAAAGCATCAGTGATAAGGAAGCACTGGATCAGTTTAATGAGCATGTTTTCATTTTTGATAGTACATGAATAGTGGATCTTCTGATAGTCGTTTCATGTCCAATAAAATTCAGTGTATGTTTGGTTTCACATGCATCTCTGAAAACAAATTTGATTTAGAGATACTAGAATTTTCTAGTATATTTCAATTCAAATTGCTCTAGAGCAATGCCTCCCAGTATTTTTTAGATAATGGCACAAAAGGAATATTATAGTATTGTACCATTCTGAGGCAGATACAGGAGGCTGCTCATGACTCAAGGCACCCAGCCTGGGCACCACAGCAGCCCCCGGCGCTGAAAGTATGAACTCTCTTGGCACCTGTAATACAATGGCAGCAAGCGAAGTTGAGAAGATCTGCTCTGGGACATACTAGAGTTACATGGACACCTGATAGGGTTTCAGATGAGTAGTTCCTAAATGGAGTTAGATTTTAGGCATTTGTGAAATTCCTGAATTTTTTTAAAAGATTTCTATTGGGGGAGGGTCTGACTCTTCCTCCAAACATTTTTAGTTTCCCAGCAGCAGTCCTAACGTTATTCAACGGCAATGCACTTGCTCCAAAGTGCAGCACCAAACAGCAAAATAAGAAAACATGTCACTGTCATTATGAATGGCTGTGTTTCATATGCAAAGCAACAAAATGCAAAGGACCTTTTTAAATATAAGCAAAATCTAAACTAATTAGAACTAGTTTCTTGTTAAAGCTTCACCTGCCCCAGGGTATAAAATGACTGAGTATAACTTTTTAGAGACCTGTAATTTTAAGTACAGCTTCATATCACCCCACTGTGAATGATGAGGGTTCTTCTTCACAATAAATTTAAGAGGCGGTTCTCTTTTCTCTAAATCACAGTCTTTCAGAAGGTATTCTTGTTTGGCTTCTGTTTTAGTTATAAGTTTGTGTTTATCATCAGCATCTCTGAAAACAAATTAAGTCCATGATATAAGTTAGTTATTTAAAATAAACCAAGTTTTTAAAGAGCCCGACAACCTAGAGGAATACATGCCAAAAGGAACAAATAAAGTACTTTTTCCTGCAGCCCTCATGGTCAGCATAAAAGTTCTAACAGAAAAATGCTTTATCTTTTACATATTCTGAGAAGCTATTAGCAGCAAATCCATGTTATTTAACATGTTAAGAATTTCTTTTCTTATTTAAAGTCCCTCTTTTCCACAAAGGATCTGAAATGACTCATAAGAGAACAGCAAATATAAATGAGAACTAAGACTCAATACAAAAATATAAATGAAAGCATAAAGTCAGGATATAAGGAATATAAATATGCAACGTCCAACTGCCCCAACACAGTTAAGTCTCCATTTAGCTCTGATCTTTTTAAAGTCAAGGTAAAAATGGAGACATAGACAATTACATAGTTCTTCCCATTCATTTGTTCTCGATGGACATGCCAGATATTGTTTGAGGCATGAAGAGTACAGCAAAGAATAAAACAAAGCCTTGTTTCCACGAAGCTTACATTCTAGTAAAGGAGAAGACAGTCGATAGGCAAACATAGTGACAGATAAAAGTGCTATGAAGGGCCTGGCTGGTGTGGCTCAGTGGAATGAGAGGTCCCGGTTCAACTCCTCGTCAGGGCATATGCCGGGGTTTCAGGCTCCATCCCCAGTAGGGGACAAGCAGGAGGCAGCCAATCGATGTTTCTCTCTCATATTGATGTTTCTATCTTTCTCTCCCTTCCTCTCTCTCTAAAAAATCAACAAAAACATATTTTCTTTAAAAAGTGCTATGAGGGAATAAAGAAGGTAAAGGAACAGAAATTTCCAGCTAGACTGGGTAGTCAGAGAAAGTCAGTAGGGGACATTTGTGCAGGGCCCTGAAGGAGTCAGAGAATATTCTGAATAGCTAGGGAAAGAACCCTCCACGCAGAGAGAAGAGTGGATGCAAAGGCTCTAGGACAGCAGTGTGCTTTGCAAGGGCCGCTCACAGCAGGAGGACTGCTGCGGCGTGATGGTGAGGAGTGATGAGAGATAAAGTCAGAGACAGGCAGGGGCCTCACCAGCAACGATGGAGGCGATTCTATTCTAAATAGATTACAACCATGAAAGAGTTTTGGGTAAAATGCTACATGGAAAAGAGACAAGCAGTGCAAAAGTGGGGGGAAGAGACCAGTTAAAAGGTCGCTCCTGCAGGGGTCCAGGCAAAAGCTGTTGGTGGCCCAGTCTAAGGTAACAGCGGAAGAGAGGATGAGAATATGCTTTGAACATAGAGCCAAATGGATGTGGAATTAAACACGGGATAGTAGAGCAATAGGCAATGAATAAAGCTGGCCTTTACTGAAATAACGAACACTGCAGAGGAGGCACAGGTCACGGAGGGGAGATTTAGAATTGGAAATACCTTTAAGAAAGCTCAATAATTTACAAGTCTCAACTAAAGGAGGGGAGAGGTAAGCTACACTGTCCTGAAACTATAATCTTGGGAGATGCTGAAAGGAAATAGAATGGAGGACAGTGTTCCTAATTATATTCAAATTTTAAAAGTATATCTTTTACCACACAATTTTCTTTAAATTGATACTTCAGTTGATTTCATTTTTCTCATGGAAATAAGATAATATGTGCTAATTCAGTTTCCAAAAGCTATCTATAGTTTAAGGAGCATGATAATACTGTGGACCTTAACCACTGTGTACATTAATGACACCGTGTCAATAGGAACAGAGTTTATAATTTACAATTCCAGTGGGTGCCAGGCCACTTCCAGTCACCGATGTGATCATGAAAGTAGAAACACCTCCATTCTCTAGATCTTCCAAGGATTCTACTCAGCAAAAGTCAGTGGTGATGGCTCCCAATATCTGTAGCAGGGATGCTGAACAGGCAGGTCCTCAAGGCAGGTCAGGAGTTGATCTAGGGCTGTGGGTATAAGAAGTGGGAATAGGGAACAAGAGAGGGCTAGGTAAGATTCCAGGACAGAACTTTAAGGTGTGAAAGACACCAACACAGGACTTGGCGTGGGTAAACAGTAGGGAACAGGAGCAGCATGTGGAATGAAAAGGATTACTCTAGGGTGATATAAAAAGAGGATAACAGCTAGGAAAAGAAAAAAAGAATGACAGAAGAATGTGATTTTTCCTCATCTATTTTCCTCCTGGACTGTTCAGGAGAGTAAAAAATGAATGGGAAGAGGTGTTCTGAGTACCAGGAGAGCAGCTGGAGCGCTTTACTCCCCTCCTCTCATCGACAGCCCGGTCCTCTGCCCAAGGCACCAACACACTGAGACAAGAAACGGAGATCCTTGGAGAAGGGTTAGGAACCTCCTTCTGAGGACAGCAGAAAGAAAAAACTATCCATGGCAGGACCTGAGGCATTCCTATTTATGTGACATATAACTCTGATAAACACAGGCTACCTGTATTTCTCTGGCAAAATGGAAACCATAGAAATGTTAGGAAACTCCTAAAATAAAAATCATAATTACTAAAAGAATATTAAATCCAAATGAATCTAATTGTTTTGCCCTAAGCCTATATGTAAACATTAAACTTTAGCAACTGAGAACATTGTTGGAAATAAAATAAGTACCTGCAGTTATCACAAGTTGGCAAATCAAAGTGGTTCATAAGATAAGAATCCATAAATTCTTTACTACATTCTTCACATATTGTATAATCAAATTCCATCACAGGTCCTAAAGAAAAAAAGATCAATTCTTTAAGTTTTCTTTTTTGTGACTAGAACAATACATTTTCCTCTATAGTATTAGCTTCTCGACATGTATTTTATGCCTGACACAAATAATTTACATAAAAAACAAAATAAAACCTTGATTAAGTAATCTTACATTTATCTAAAAAAAAAGATTTTGAGAGGAAAAAAAGAAAAAGGAAATAACATCAGGGGGGAAAAAACCCTATCAATTCACGAACTATTTTTTTTAACCAAACCATGTGTAAGATACTTGTATTAGTTTTATATTGCTACTGTAACAAATTACCCCAAATTTAGTGGCTAAATTAACACAAATTTATTATCTTACAAATCTATAGTTTATAAGTCTGGCACAGGTCTCAGAAGGCTAACGTCAAGGTGTTAGTAGGGCTACCTCCTCTCTAGAGGTTTTAGGGGACCACCTATACCTTGCCACTCCTAGCTTGTAGAGGCTGCCCACACTCCTTGACTCATAACAGAATGGAGCGGTGAAGAGCAAGGCAACAGAAGAGAGACAAATACAGAATTCACTTTCCAAAGTTTCAAAAAGGAAACTTTTTCTCTCCCTCTATCCCACCCCTTACCAACAAAGAAAACTGCTTCCTCTTCATCTGTCTCAACCAGTAGCCTGCCTACTTCTTGAGGGTAGAGATTGTACTTGGCAATACATCCTCAATACCCAGCACAAAAACAACCCTACGTAGAGTAAAGCTAGATATTTTTAAGAATTTCAAATACCTAGCTAAGGATCTTTATCCTGTTCAATCTCAGCTTCTGAAAACAATAGTATAGACACACACAGAACAGAAAAGGACTATTACCCACCCTGATGAATATATAACACTTCTGCTACTGCAGCTAAAACTGGAATAGGTTTCTTAAGCTGTTCTGTTAAACTATTGGCTATCAAATTTATGATCAAATAAAACTTTATTGGCTATCAAATTTATGATCAAATAAAACTTTAACTTTTTCAAAGAGTATGCAAATATCCTCACCCAGAGGAGATATATATATATATATATATATATATGAATATATGAATATATATGTAATTTACCAAATTTAACCTTAGATAATCGAGCTATATTCTTCTTTTATGCCAAGTCTCCCCTCCCTATCTTATACTTTATAAACTGTTTTTCTCTAAACTTAAAAGAATGTCCTAAATTTTATCTCTTGGGTTCTAGCCTCTCATTTCAGCCTATCAAGGTAATTTTGAGTATTTATTCTATTGGTCAATATACTGGCTGTCTCTATCCATTATAAAACAACAGAGAGTGTCAACCCTAAGTACAGCAGGTCCATGAATAACATTTCTTTCAATGTCATTTCATTGTAACATTAATGAAATGCCAAAGGGACTTAACTGTGTTTCTATCAATTAGCCGATGGTAAAAGTGGTTTTATTTCTCATGGTTTTGCTTCAAGGCACAGAACCTATCAATGGCACTGAGGACTTACTGTACACAAACAAGTTAATTAATCACTGCCAAATCGGTTTAATTTTTAACCTACTAGCTAAATTGCAAAACTTTATCACTCTTATAAAGCTAACCTGCTCACTGCTGAACTTATTTAACATCAATCTGCAAAGAATTTTGCAAGTTACTCAAAACGACCAACCTAGATACCTATTTTCTAAAAACACACTTTACCTGGTTCATGAACAACTTTTCCAATTGTATGTTCTTCTTCTCCTTCTTCTTCCAAAATGAAGCCTCCATGTGTGTCAATTATCTTTGGGGCAGCTTTTACATTAGCCATGCCTATAAAAAGTAAGTAAAAAGTCAACAATTGAACTAGGTAAGCCCTTATGTTCCCTTGTGCATAAACAGAAATTTTCCTTAAATTTAATATATATCAAACAAGAAATGTCCACTATTACCACTTCTATTCAACATTAAAGGTCCCAGCTAGTACAATATACAAGAAAATAAAACAGATTGGAAAGAAATAAAATAGCCTTTATTCACAGCTGATGTGATTATGTATATAGAACACGCACAGGAATCTACAATTAGAATTTAAAAATAATACCTAGAGCCCTGGCCAATTGGCTCAGTTGATTGGAGCTTCGTTCTGTACTCTGAAAGGTTGTGGGTTTGATTCCCAGTCAGGGCACATGCTCGGGCTGCAGGTTTGGTCCCCGGTTGGGGCACATATGAGAGGCAACTGATGTTTCTCTTCTCTCTCTCTCTGTCTGTCTGTCACACACTCTATCTCTATCTCCCTCCCTCCCCCTTCCTCTCATTAAAATTAATAAAGTGGCCCTGGCCAGTTTGGCTCAGTGGTTGGAGCATTAGCCCTTGGACTAAAGAGTCGCGGGTTCAATTCTGGTCAAAGGCACGTACCTCAGTTGTGGTTTGGTCCCCAGCCTTTGTTGGGGTAGTGCGGGAGGCAGCCAATCAGTGTCTCTCTCTCACATCGATGTTTCTCCCTCTCTCCTTCTCTCCCTCTCTCCCCCTCCCTCCTACTCTATCTGAAGACAAATGGAAAAATATCTTCAGGTGAGGATTTTTTAAAAAATTAATAAAGTATATCCTCGGGTAAAGATTAAATAACACCTAGGAAGAGATTTCCAGCCAAGACGGCAGTGTAGGTAAATGTGGTACTCAAATCCTCCCACAACCACATCAAAATTACAACTAAACTCCAGAATAACCATCATTCAGACCGCCTGAAATCAAGCTGAATGGATGTCCTACAACTAGGGACTTAAAGAAGAAGCCACAAAAGTTTGTTAGAGGGGCGGAGGCATGGAACAGGGCTGGGTGTAGCAGATAAAAATTATCCCAGCTATGGAGGTCCCCCCTGAGGAGCAAGGGGTCCCAGCTCCACACCAGGCCCCACAGCCCAGGGTTTCGGTGCCAGGAAGAGAAGTCCCCATAACTTCTGGCTGTGAGAATAAGTGGGACTGTGGAACGGCTGCTAGAGTTCCAGGCAGTTCCTCTTAAAGGGCTCACACACTTACTCAGACTCACACCCACTCACTCCCTCAGAGCTCCAGCGCTGGGGCAGTAGCTTAAAAGGAACCAGGGACATACAGGGAGGACCTAAATTGTCTGGCATCCAGGACAGAACCAGGGGACAGCTTTCTGCCAAACAAAAGTGCTGGCAAACACCACTGTTCCTTTTCTGAGACCCCCACCCCATCCCACCAGAGTCGTATCTGAGTCTCCATCAAGATGGATATCACTGTTCACCCCACCCTGGTGATTCCCCGAGGCCCTGCCCCACCCAAACTGTGGGCCCACGCAAGCTGTTTTCAGTGGGTTTTCCATACAAATGGCTTGTCTTGGCCCATGCTTTAGACTTTCCAAAAATCTCTCAAACAAGCAGCATCTGGCCTTGGCACGCACCATACCTCTCATTAAGTGACCTTAGGCCTGGCACTAGCAGCAGTCAGCCTTGGTTCGTAGCTTAGCCCCATCTGGGCATCTCCAAGCCCAGCATAAGTAGCAGGCATCTGCAGATCACTTTGTAGTTCATTCTGGGTGGCCCCTGGCAGAACACAGGGGGTGGCTGACCTTGGCCTACACCTCCCGGGAGACCCCATAACCAGCACACCTGGTAGACAGCTTCGGACCACATCAAAGCACCACCCACCCACGTCCACAAACAATATACTCAAGGGGCAAATTCAGCAGGCACCAGAACTCCATTGAAGTAAGTCCTGCTCTGTGGGATGGGACCCTGCACAGTTGATCCTCCACAGTGATAGCAGCCAGTCCTCACAGCTGATCGACCTGGGTGTAAACCCCTCCTACTGATGTACCAACAACAATCAAGGCTCAACTACAACAGAAGGGTGTACACAGCCAACACAGGAGTGGGGGGAGTCCACCTAGAGTGCCTAGCTTGGTGACCAGGGAGGATGTGCCACTGAGCCCTAGGGGACACCTATACATAAGACCACTCTACAAAGCCTGGCAAACATAGCAGCTCTACCTAATATACATAGCAGCCAACACATGGAGGCTGCCAAAATAAGGAGACAAAGGAAACATGTACCAAACAAAAGAACAGAACAAAATTCCAGAAAAAGAACTAAACAAAATGGAGATAAGCAATCTATCAGATGCAGAGTTCAAAACATTGGTTACAAGGATTCTCAACCATTTCAGTGAGAACATCTACAAAGAGATAGAAAACATAAAAACAAAACTAGAAAATATAAAAAAGAACCAGTCAGAAAAAAAGACTATATTACAGGGAATCAACAGTGGAGTAGATGGAACAGAGGATGAATCAGAGATCTGGAATATAAGGAAGCAAAAAACACCCAATCAGAACAGCAAAAAGAAAAAAAATCCAAAAAACTGAAGATAGTATAAAGAGCCTCTGGGACAACTTTAACCATACCAACATACACATCATGAAGGTGCTGTAAGGAGAAGAGAGCACAAAATTGAAAACCTATTTGAAAAGATTACAGAAAACTCCCCTAACCTCATGAAGGAGACATACAAAAAGTCCAGAAAGTGCAGAGAATCCCAAACAAGATGAACCCAAAGAAGCCCACACCAAGACATATCATACTTAAAATGCAAAAGGTTAAAAACAAAGAGAGAATCCTAAAAGCAGTGAGAAAAAAGCAGTTAGTTACCTACAAGGGAGCTTCCATAAGACTGTCGGCTGATTTCTCCAGAGGAACTCTGCAGGCCAGAAAGGAGTAGCCAGAAATATTCAAAGTGATGAAAAGCAAGGCTCTACAACCATGATTACTCTACCCAAAAAACCTTTCATTTAGAATCAAAGGACATATGAAAAGCTTTCCAGACGAGAAAAAGTAAGATGAGACGAGAACCACTAAATAATGGCTGGAAATTGTAGATTCAGTGTCAGTATAAATATCAAGACAGGAAACCAGCCCCAGATTCTACTCACTCTTCCTTACTCCTGGCTGATGAAAAAGGATAGGAGATGTCACAGCTTCAAGCTGTGCTCAACTCCTCACACAGTATGGGGTAGAGCCTCATGTTAACAGAGGTAATCCTGAAGACCTGCATGTAAACCAAACTATTTTAGGAACCCTGGGGAAGATCAGTACTTGACTACAGTGGAGATAGATACATACATACATAACAGACAGGCAGCCAAGGGCAGCCCTAAGAATGGAGGAAGATGCAATCAAGATACGAATAACAGCCTTTCTTCCTAAGGGTGAGAGATGCCTAGTGTAGCAGAGGCAGCTGGTGGCAAGGAAGGGACCTGAACCCAGTGTCAGATGACCCGAGTTCTAGTCCTGATTAGCCTGTACACTTGCTGGGATGAGCCTGAGCAAACCACCTTTCCTTTTCTGGTCCTCAGTTACCACCTCACTAACACAGATTCCAAACCCTGCCCTAATTATTTTCCGGGTTAGTCCTGAGAATCAAATTAACTACCTTTAAACAAGTGTAACAGGTGTCCCTCTGCTGGCCTCACGAAGGCGGTAATGTGCTTTTTCTGACGCCCTGTGCTGCATAGAGATGGTGCACTCGATCGCCTTTGAAGACGAATGAGGGCGCAGGTGCAGATTACTGAAATGGGTTAAGGTCGAAAAGCCTTACACAAGGACCACCTCTCGTATCGGTGGAAGCTGCGGGAAGGGAACAGACGGGACAGCCGAGGCGCTGGCGGGCACCGGCAGGCACCCCCGCGGCAGTGCGGCTGCATCCCCAAGCTGAAGACCTGGGCAGCCCAGTGCAGGAAAGCCCGGGGATGGGAGTCAGGAGGCCTGGGTCCTACCGCGGAATCGTTCTTTGGCCTGGGCCAGCTCGCTTCGACAAGACCCTGAGTGGGCTCCCCGCAGGACAGCGGGAGGGTGCGCGCGCAGATGCCAGGGGGCTCGACGCCACACACGGTGCGCGGCGCCCGGTTCGCCCCGAGAGGGAAGGGACAGGCGCCGTCGGGACCCAAACCTCCGGTAGCCGCAACCGTCGTCGCCGGGTACGGCCGGGCCGCCAGACGGGCCTGGCGCAGCATCAGCGCCCGCTGCCGCTTCCGCTCGATGCTCGCCCGCACAGAGGCAGGCAGCTCCGCCGGCCGCTCTGAAGCCGCGGGGTCAGGTGAAGTTTCCTTGGCCGCCGCCATCTCCCAATCTCAGAGAACCTTATCTCCAGCGCTGCGCACGCGCAGCCTCCACTGAACTGTCTCTGAGAGGGAGCGCGCCTGCGCGACTTGAAGACGGAAGGGAGGGGCGGGGTCTGCGCGCTCTTTGGAGCCCGGAGTATCTCTGCCTTGTAAACTAGGGGGAAAAGCGGCACAGAGGTCATTTTTTTCAGGACTTGGTCATCACTGAAGTAATGTTTTTTTGCTGGCTTACAATATGGGCTTTGGAGTCAGACCTCGGTTAAGCTCTGACATCATCTGCGTGATCTTGAACAAGTTATTTAACCTGAGTTCAGTTTCTTCAGTAGTAAAATGAGGATAACTACGGAACCACTTCCTGAGTTGTTGGAGAGATTAGATGTAAAGACTTTCAACACAATGCCTGGTACATAATAAACGTCCAAAAATGCTAGCAGCTGGTAGTAATAGTAGTGTTATTCAAGAGAGACGGAGGGATGACTAATCTGACTTTACTTTGAATAGAGCCTTAGATCTGAAATGAGAACAGCTGGGTTCAAACGCTCACTTGCTGTGTGATCTCAGGCAAATGCAGCACGTGGTACCAAGGTTTTTATGCATGAGCTTCGCTATCTTTTCCATGGAATATTTATTGTGGATGAGCTGCCACCAGGGAGACAATGGGTTTGGACTGGGGCTAAAGCCTGACTCCCTAAAAGTCTCATAAATGGAGCAAAAGAAACATTGTGTGCTTTTCCAGAAATGTATGCTTTTTACTACAAATAAAATTGAATTGAGCCTCTACACCATCTTTTCTTGTGTCTGGCAGCCGCAGCCATGAAGGTCGAGCTGTGCAGTTTCAGGGGGTACAAGATCTACCCCAGGCATGGGAGGCACTACGCCAGGACCGACTGGAAGGTTTTCCAGTTTCCTTTTTTTTTAATCCTCACCCGAGGACATTTTTCCATTTTTTGTACAGATAGAGTGGGAGGGAGAGAGAGGAAGGAGAGAGAGAGAGAAACATTGACGTGAAAGGGACACATCGAGTGGCTGCCACCCGCACGACCAACCAGGACCGGGGACAAACTGCAACCAAAGTACGTGCCCTTAGCAGGAACCGAACCCAGGTCTCTCCGGACCGCAGGCTGACGCTCTAACCGCTGAGCCAAACTGGCCAGGGCGTTTTCCAGTTTCTTAATGCAAAATGCGAATCGGCATTCCTTTCCAAGAGGAATCCTCGACAGATAAATGGGACTGTCCTCTACAGATGAAAGCACAAAAAGGGACAATCGGAAGAAATTCAAAAGAAAAGAACCCACTGTGCAGTCAAATTTCAGAAGGCCATCACTGGTGCATCTCTTGCTGATATAATGGCCAAGAGGAATCAGAAACCTGAAGTTAGGAAGGCACAACGAGAACAGGTTATCAGGGCTGCCAAGGAAGCAAAAAAGGCTAAGCAAGCATCTTAAAAAAACAGCAATGGCTGCTGCAAAGGCTCCCACAAAGGCAGCACCTAAGCAAAAGATTGTAAAGCCTGTGAAGGTTTCTGCTCCTCGTGTTGGTGGCAAACGCTAAGTTGGCAAATCAGTTTTTTAAATAAAGACCCGGCTATAACTGCAAAAAAAAAAAAAATTGACACCAGAAAACATTAAGATCTGATTGCATATACCATTTAGGACTAGTTTTTAGAATAATCTGGCACACTTTAGTTTCCCACTAATATTCGGTGGTTGAGGTTCTAATCTATTGATTATATACTTAAGCTGGAGAGCCTCTTATAAAACAGATAAATGTTCAGATCTACTGGTTGAACTGGAGCTAGAGAACTCAAGCCATTCTTATTGGTCTTCCTCTCAGATCCCTCTTTCACCCTATCTATTAATCTTGTCCAGGTAATAAAATCTCAAATTCCATGAAACATCAAAAGCACAAGCAAGGAATTACAAATTAGATAAACTGACTAGCTTGAAAACTTGTGCATTAAAGAATACTATAAAGAAAATGACCCGTTTGGCTCAGCAGTTAGAGCGTCGGCCCGCGGTCCAGAGAGACCCGGGTTTGGTTCCCGCTAAGGGCACGCACCTCCGTTGCATTTTGTCCCTGGCCTGGTTGGGGTCATGTGAGTGGCAGCCAGTCGATGTGTCTCTCTCCCTCTATCATTGAATGCAAAAATGTCCTTGGGTGAGGGTAAAAAAAAAGAGAGGAAACATTTGCAAATCATATATCTGCAAAGGGTCTAGTAGCCAGAATATATAAAGAACTCTTACAACTCACTAACAGGAAGGCAAATAATCCAGTTTTTATTCTTTTTATTTTTATTTCTTTTTTAATGTGTTTTTATTGATTTTTTAGAGAGAGGAAGGGAGAGAGATCAGCTACCTCCTACATGCCCCCTACTAGGGATCGAGCCTGCAACCCGGGCATGTGCCCTGATCAGGAATCAGACGGGGACCTCTCAGTTCATGGGACAATACTCAATCCACTGAGCCACACCACCTGGGCAAATAACCCAGTTTTTAAATGAGCAAAGGGCTTAAGTAGATGTTTTTCTAAAGAAGATATACAAATGACCAACAAGCACATGAAAAGATATTCATTATTAGTTATTAGGGAAGTACAAATCAAAAGCACGGTGAGAAACCACTTCACACCCAATAAGATGACTGGAAGTAAGAAAAGAAGAAAAAAAAAACAGAAAATAGTAAATTGACAAAGATGTGGAAAAATTGGAACTCTCATATATTGCTGGTGGGAATGTAAAATGATGCTGCTATAAAAAAGTTTGGCTGCCCTGGCCAGTTTGGCTCAGCGGTTACAGAGTCAGCCTGCGGTCCAGAGAGACCTGGGTTCGGTTCCCACTAAGGACATGTACCTTGGTTGCAGTTTGTCCCCAGCCCTGGTTGGGTCATGCGGGAGGCAGCCACTCGATGTGTCCCTTTCACATCGATGTTTCTCTCTCTCTCTCCCTCACACTCTATCTGAACAAAAAATGAAAAAATGTCCTTGGGTGATGTGTCCCTTTCACATGGATGTTTCTCTCTCTCTCTCCCTCCCACTCTATCTGAACAAAAAATGGAAAAATGTCCTTGGGTGATGTGTCCCTTTCACATGGATGTTTCTCTCTCTCTCTCCCTCCCACTCTATCTGAACAAAAAATGAAAAAATGTCCTTGAATGAGGATAAAACAAAAAAAACAGTTTGGCTATTCTTCAAAAAATTAAACATAGAAATACCATATGAGTCAGCAATTCCACTCCTGGGTATATACCCCAAAGAACTGAAAACAGGAGTTCAAACAAAAACTTCCACACAAATGTTCATAGCAGTATTATTCACAATAACCAAAAGCTTGAAACTACCCAAATAGCCATCAAACGGTGAATGGATAAACAAAATGTGGTATATCTATACAGAGGAATATTATTCATCCATAGAAGGAAGAAAATACTGATACATGCTAAAACATGCACAAAACCTGAAAACATGCATTCCTTTTATATGAAATATATGGATAAGCAAACTCATAGTGACAGAAAGCAGATTAGTGGTTGCCAGGGGCTAAAGGAATTGGGGACTGGGGAATGTCTGTTTAAAGTATAAGGTTTCCTTTGAGGGTAATGAAAATGTTCTGGAACTAGATAGTGGTGATAGTTGCACAACACTGAATGTAACCAATAGTGAATTTTATTTCATAATAAACTTTAAAATAACTCAAATTGTGAATGGGCCCAGGCAGTTAATGGAAGTAATGAACCTGGCCGGGTGTGGGACTTGGGAAAAATGGAGTGTGAGGGCACCTCTTAAAGGGGTCGGCTACTACACAGTTCCCATGGGTAGTTGTCAAGACAGAATTTGGGCCCAGTGTTGCCAGATGGCCCAGTGCTTCAAGAAAAGTAACTATTTCTCAAACTTTAATGCATATATGAGTCACCTGATGATCTTGTTAAAATGCAGATTCTGATTCAGTAGGTCTGTGGTGGAACCTTAAGAATGTGCATTGCTAACAAGCACAAAGGTCTTCAACCTCGGCAGCACATTGGAAGCATCTGGGAAGTTGAAATAATACATGCTTAGGCCCTATCCCTGGCGATTCTGATGTTGGTCAGGAATGGGATCTGGGCATCGGAATTTTGTAAACATACCCCTATCCCCACCCCCTCACCATTAGATAATTCTAATGGGCAGCAGAATTTGAGAGCCAGAACCCTAGATGATCCTTCTAGACTCTACATAGCTCTAAGAGTCTCTGAGGATGTGCAGTATTTCTAAAGAATAAGGCAACAGTTCTCCCCACAACGTAACCTTTCAAGAATAATTAGCCCCTGGAGCCACCTTCCCAACAAAGCATTCCAAGTTTGAATACTGAAGGACTCAGACCACAGCTAAGATGCTGTACAGCCCTGATATTTTGTAACTTTTGACAACCTGTTGGGTCTCCTCTTACGGGTAACTCCCCTCTCCTTTGGCTTCCTCACCTTTGTTAGCAAGTTTCATGTAACTGGGTCTGAATTGTTAGCTGACGCCTTAACCAAGCTAAAATGAGACTCCTCCTTTAGAGAAAGGAAGAAGAGTGCGTGCCCCGATCTGTACATCTCACACGATGACAGAGGCTGCAGGGCTTGCCCAGAGTGTAGCATGAGTCATCTCCACGGAGGCACGAAAGGAAAACAGGCAAGGAGAATAGACCAGAGAATGTATTCTTGCCTCTCCCCATTCGAAGTCTCAGGGAAAACCTGTGACTACATCTGTCTTCCTGCTTTGTACTTCTCTCATCTCCCAACTGTGATCCTGGCTGAAAGAGGGGTGATTAACAAAGCACAGAAAGAATAGAAAGCCCTCACCCGGGCCTGAAGAACAGCAGGCAGGTAAGAATGGAAGCCAGGAAGGGGGATGAGAAACTTGGCAGTGTTTCCTGACAGGGCCTCCTGTCTAAGAGCATTACTGGGGTTATTCATGCCAAGATGACAGGATGTGAACACATTTGTCTTTATTATCTAGTAAATAGTACATGTGTGTGGCTTTCTTTTTTATTTTTATTTTCACCCTCATTCCCTGGGGCTTTACCCCTTAATGT